TAAAGAAAGACACCTTCTACCCAAAGGGTGCAAATAAAACATAAAAGACTACATATACATTTTATCATCAAATATGGAACTCGATTGAGTCGTCCGCAAGTCAACTCTGGCTGGCCTCAGATTTGCAATGGAGGACGATATCAAATGGTGGAATTCAAAGTCATCACATCTTCAGTTATTATTCGTGAAACTTATTTCTTTCGGGATCTCTTTCCCCCCCTTACAACTAATCCAAATCTACTCACTTGCTTGGCTACCACTTGCCGCAAGACCATGTTGCGTCTCAACAACAATGACGTACCAATTACAATCTATGATCTACTTCTTCATTTCTCAGTGACAGCATTAGCTCAGCAACAGCATGATGATGTAGCTCTCACCACAACTTATCATGAGAATAAATGACCTATCAGTTTGCCAACACCTAAACACAATTTTTAAGAGAATAGATAATCATACAGCAAACTACACAGCAACATATTGTTACTTCCATCTCTTCAGATGTAACAACTGCTATATGTAGAAGACGCCAAATGTTACTAGCAGTGGCGAAATCAAAGATGAGAAAATTTATCAACCTGTAACTGCTATTGCTCAACAATCCGATTGATTTCGCTGTATTTATCCTACAAGCTTTCGAGCAACCATTTTCGTGAATTTTCATGATATATAATGAAAAGCTGTACCAGAAACAATCTAACTCGTCGGTCAAAAACTGCATATGTAAAATAATTATCATGAAGTTCGCTGCAATTCATGATGAAAGAATGTCTAAGGGTTTGCAATTTAGAAACGAGTTCGCATAGACTTGTTGAATCACAATATCCCTTCTCGGTCATAGTCGTCATGCTGCTTTGTCTTCAGAAGTATAGTGTTCCTCATCTTTTTTAGTAGTGACAGAGAGATACTGGAAAGTCATTCATTCTGTGTACAAATTTCAATCATTCTGCAAACGAAGTTCACTCTTCAGATTCTCAGAAATTCAATTCTAACCAAAAAGTCATTCATTCTGCATACAAATTTCCATACTTGATCTTAGTGAATTTAAATAACAAATGCTAGGCATTTTGCATCAGTAATTATAAAGAATAGATCAAAGTCATGCTTCTAGTTCAATGGATAAACAAGATGATGGCCATTAGAGCATTTTGCCATAATAGGCTAAATGGTGGGGAGCATTTCAGCATAACCTTGAACTGCTTTAGTTTGGAGGGACAATCTCCAAACTGTTAACTAAAGCAATATCATTTATAGAATTTTATGTAAGAAAAACAAAGGCATTGGCATCAACATAGCCAGTTTTGAATACCAAAAAAGTTTGGCTGTGTCATCAAAAATCAACCATCAGTACCATGAGAATGGTTAAAGACTACAAAACTGAAACAGTTTTGCAGACATCACAAATCAATGATATTTTGCTCTCAGTTCAAAAGCACATTTGACTAAAGCCTTCAAATGTATACTTAGTTAAGAAATAGAAAGTATAATGAAATTATTGCTCCAACATCTATTAATTGTAGAGCACATATTGCTTGGTTTTGGTAAAACTAATATAAAGTTCCTTCAACTACCAGAACCTTCATATTCATGTACCATCTGATCCTAATCAACCAAACAGTAGCAACATCAAAATACCAGGTTATCTCCTAACATCAAATTCCTTATATCAAGATGATCACATGATTAATTACTTATACCTTGAAGCAAATATTACTCTGAAAGACTCCAAGCTTTCTTCCTGTTAGATCTCAAATAATCAGCATGGAGATTCAGTAAGGTCTGATTTGTACTCTCCCACATGCTCAAATCATGGATTATACATGCTTTTATTTCCTTCTGTACTAACTAACATGAGAAAAGGGCCTCTATGGCACTTACCTTAGGTCCAACTTGATTTGTTTTGGTTTGGATCTGGATGGTGTGGGTCAACACTGGTATTATACCAATCTGACCGATTACCAAAACCAATATTAGACCAAGATTCAAATCGATTTAAGATTTGAACCTTTTTGTGCCTGATGGGAATCCCATTTTCCATTCTCCTGGAACATAATTTAGAATGACAGCTTTGATGCGGCCAAGTACATCATTCATCACAAAAGGACAGACTGCAGATGAAGATTACAGAAATAAAACAACAGTAATCAAGATTCATTTTCTGGTCTCGCTTTTACATGTCAGCGAAGCAGCAAAGTATCCAATGCAACAGCACATAAAATGCCCATCAACATGCCATGAGATAACAAACCTTGTCCAAGTTGCATCTTCTAAGTTCTAATTATATATATCTTTTGTATCAAGAAAATGTTTTATCCGAAGTATCTTAATGAGATAACATCCACTCATATTCAAGTAAAAGCAGATGGTCAATCATGTCAGATGCTACTCTTTTCCTTCTGGTTTTTCTTTTTTTTATTCCAGCAGGGCCAGCCCTAAATAATGACTTCAGAGATACCATGGCAGCCATATCATTGTTGAACCATACCTATCATAACTTGGAGATAATTTTGACTGAAGAGGCAACTTTGGCAAAGAATTGTAAAGGCACTGGAGACTCCTGCAGCAATTAGGAGGAAGATTTCTATTTCCAGCAAAGAGCTACAGTCTACTATTACATTAGTTGGATAGTGAATTGGATTACTAGCTTGATTAGGATTCAACTAAGGCAGTAAAACATGCTATCTCAACTAGCAGGCTAAGATGTAATAGAGCAGCAGGACAACAAATGCTAGAGGGAATAGGACTCTGATAAGAGCCAGCCAGCCAGCCCCTGATCTTGACAAGGCTGGCCAGTTCAGGAGCCCTATCTGGGTGCTACAAAGATGGTCTGGAGTTCTGCCAATCTGATTCCAGTGGCATGCGGCCCAAACAGGGCAGCCAAAACATATAAAGCTCAATAAAGTGGACGAATAGGCTGGTACAACAGAAAGACAACAGCAGAACAACAGCTTAATGGGCTTTCTACAATTAATTCTGCACCTACCATATGAAAATTTTGGGTTATAACACCAGTGACATTATAAGTATAGATTATTCTAGACTCGCTATAGGATCCTAGGTAGATTAGGACCTTCAAGCACTAGTAACATTATACATATAGGAAGATTGCGAGCCATTAATACTCATAATTTCCTTTGTTATCTCTCATTAATACTAGTATGTGGCTGTTGGGAATCTTCTTCTAATCAGAAATCTGCTAGTTGGGAGACATTTATCCTAACAACTCCCCAAGCTAACAGGGAAAACAAGTGAAACTCAAAGTCAAAGGAAGGACAACATACAATCCTGAAGGTTTCACTTGTTAATGAAGTAATGATTTATATAGTTCACAGTAATGGTCAACTCCGATGTGATAAACCTGATTCATATCGGTATCGTCCAGGACCAATCCCATTTTGTCCTATTATTATAGTTAGAACATGCTTGAAATTGATATAAGCCAATCAAACTCAAATAAAGTGCCTTTTAATTTGTTATGAGCTCTCAATTATCAATAAGGATGTACCTGCTAAAAGAGACCTCACTTGCTAATATTATTGTAGATGAGAGTACAAGATGCTGTTTGCTCTTAGCTGATTAATTGTAATACTTCTCTGCCTACAAAATCCTTGTTGAAAATACTGGACCAAGATACAAGAAGTTCCAGCCATGGAAGCACATAAAGAAGATGTTCAAGCCTTAAAAAGGCTAACAACATTTTCTTGAAATTACTTTTTTCCCCTATTCTTTGTTATATTATTATATTTTGTCCTCAGATGATTAGAAACTTCACATTTAGAAGCTCGAGATATTGAAAGGAAAACAGATTTAGTTAACAGAACTGTAAGTATATTTGCAGGAGTTAATAACTAGAATAACTTCAATACAAAAGTGGAGCTTTGTTAGAACAGCAAATAAATAACTTAATCATATCATGCCACTTTACCAAAAGTTGGTTATATTCTAGTGTTCTCCTATTTGCTAATTTCATTCAACCACTAAATTACGAAGTTGTACCTATTTTTTCACAGTGGCCTTTGCTTAACTTCAGTGTTGCAGATTTCACTATCAGCTAAAAAAAATAGTGAATTTGGATTCATAATGATCTAGATTCTATATTGTTCCTTTCAAGTTATCATTTGCAAATTGAAAACCCAGGTTGTGACACCAGATTTTTAGTACAATCATCATACACGAGCAATTTCTTATATATTGTCGTCAGCCATTATTGTCAACTACGAAGATTTTAAGGTGAATATACCTTTTGTGCAACATTTACCAACACATAATGGGATAATTACACAAAAGAAATAGTTTTCACACTAGTGGAAGATCTCGAACTTTTCTTCACTCATCCTCTTTTACCTATTTCTTGTCTACAACTATGAGAGAATCTTAAAATTATATATGGATGTCAAGGGTGCTAGTGAATGTATGATGGCACCTATTAGAAGATGGCCTTTATATGACAGATAAGGACACACCAAAAAAAGTGATAGACACACAAATGAAAAGATGAAAAAAAGAGAGAAAAAGTTAGGAATCACTCAAAATAAAATTCAACTTTCAGGTGAGACCCATTAGAAAAAAGTATTATAAGTATGAATTCATAGTATTTGACTGAAAGTCAGTTAATTGATGTGTGGAAGGAAAAAGGAAAAATTCATTGAGGGAGATAAATATAAGATCAAGGAAAGGGAAAATCCTGTAGAAAGGGAAAACATCTCTATCATATAATAGAAAGAGAAAGCCTTCACAATTTAGTTTCAGATCCTTAAAATTTGTTCATCACTTTCACAGGACATATAAAAGAGGGATGATCAGAGTGTACACATTAATGTGACCAACCACCTACAAAATGAATCAAACTTGACTTTTGTTACATCACCCTCTTGTTTCGCAAATTTAGTTTGCAACTCACAAGATGGTTTCTGCCAACAACTTTTAATGAACCGGTTGCTAATCTATGTAATAATAATTATTCATAGATCTAATAAAGCCAATCAATAACAGCCTAAGTATTAATTATTGCTCGAACCAAAGCAAGTAACAAGCAAACATTTTAATAATGACAATTGTAGCCAATGGAACCAGGCACATGATGAGCAGACTTTCCACAGAAGCAATTCCTATAACCAAAATCAAATACAAGCTAAACTAAAGCTTTTAAATACACGGCCCAAGAAAAAAGATATATCAAAAATCATTAACGGTGTACCCTCCAGTAATTTCTCCACCACCGTAAAGAGATGGCAGCAGAGGAGCTGTGAACGATCCCTAGATCAGCCCTTTAGACCTGCATTCAATGATGAGAACATCAGCTGCTATTTTAGGGACGCAAAAGAAAAAGATGCGCTTTCTACGCGAAATCAATCGAGAGATCAAGAACTGAGAGAGCCGAGTTGACGAAATGAAATCAAAAGCACACCTACGTCTGTTTGGAGTAGGTCGAGGCGGACGAGGGGACGCGCTTGATGCGGAACATCATGTACCCGAGCGGAAGTACCACGCCGACCATCATGATCGCCGCCCCAATCAGATACCGCAGCGGCCCCGGCGGCTCCACCTCCATCAATCTCCAGTCTCAATCTCCTCCTCGTCACCTACACCAACTAAAACGATATAAAAGAATCCCTACCTCATTAGATCAGATCCATCACGACGCAGCCGCAGAAAACCCTGAACGAAACCCTAGAGACAAGGATTCGCTCCGATGGAGTACCTTTTCGGATCGATCGTTTCACTCCGAGGAAAATGGCGACGAGATCGGGAAGCGATCGAATGGAGGAAGAAAGCAATAAAGAGGCTTAACGCACACACGCCGGTCCGGCGGCAAAATGTACCAATTCGACCGGTCCAATCGTCCGGTTCAGTGCTCGACCAAACCCTGACCTCAAATGGAAGAGCGATGCCGTGTCTTCTCCCACCGTCTTTTACGCACCCGTGTATCCTACCCTACTGTCATTTCTTTAGATAAGGTGGGGTCTACATGATGGAGCCTTCGGTTCCCCTCAGGGTAAACATACGGGTATGCGTGCTTGGGGGGCCTGAAACAGAACTTTGGAGGGAATGGACACATCTCCTCATATAGTGTCCACAGGAACTATCACAGGTAAAAATAAGTGGGCATGGTGGTCTTGCATCGGATTGCGAAGAGAGCGGTCTCCATGATCCCCGGCGGCAACGCCGGCTCCGTTCTCGGCATCCACGTCTTCCACTGCCCGGTGAGTGGGGTTCATCCGAGTCCATTGTTTGTTAGTTGTGGCGGACTTCTTTGATCGATCCCCGGGCTGAGATTGGAGCTGTTGGTGAGCAGGACGCGGTGGGGATCGTCGCCAAACTCTCGGAGTGCATTGCGTCGAGGAGCGGAAACATACACAGCGTGGATGTCTTTGTCCCCGAGAAGAAGCAGGTCTTTTACTCGAGGAGGTGGGGATTCTGTCTTTGGTCTTTTGTACCAAATTGGTAAATTGTGCTGAAGTACCAAATTGCCTAAGCTGAATCCAAACTTTGGCCTAGCCTTATTAGTTTTGAGATGAATGGCCCTCTCTGGCTTGGTCGGCTATGCCCAAAACTTGGCCAATTTCCTCGAGTCTCTTCCACTTGTGATAATGATGAGTGGTTCAAGATAGGCTTGTTTATGAATGAGTATAGGTCTGTTGTCGAGTTGATCAAGTTTCTCCTTTGATTTGGCCTGGCGTCAAATGTGAAGATCATTGTTACGTTGGTTACACTTCTTAGCAACCAAAGATGTTCAACTTAAATCACCAAATTCTTTCAAGCATGCCTTCATGCCAGAATAAGTCCAGTAAATTTTTGGGCTGATCTGGTCCATTTCTAGTAGGAAATACATCATATCAACATCTATAACAAAAACTTAGTTGTTCTTTTGATATGATTTTATACTAGGGGAAGGACAGATACTATACCACTTAAATTATTCAATTTTAGAAATAGAGAGACTTATTTTCAATTTGTTTGGTATCTGTGAAGGAGAGCCTGTGACTATGTCTTCCTTAATTGTTATGATTATGAGATCTTTAGATGGCCAATATAACTAAGTCAACTTTGTGTAACTTATAGCTGCTTCTCTTTCTTGTGACTTTGCAACTTATTCTGCAAAGAATGATGAACCTTCTGCATTTATTTTACTCTGAAGTGTGATGCCTTTCTACTTGTGAGGCCAACTGAATTTTGTGACGTCTTCTGCAAATTTTGCAATTAGTATTCCTGCCATTGATAACCAAAACATGCTTGTACAATTTGGTATATAAAATTATATCTTATCTGATTTTGTCAAATACCACTTCCTATATCTGAAATCTCGTTTGTTGTTTCTGCCAATGCTATTCCTCTTACCCAAATTCTTATATCTGTAACCTTGTTTGCTCTTTCTGCTGTCATGTTACTGTTACCTAAACACAAAGTTAAGCACTCCTAGATTTGACTAATTTGAAGCTGTTTTTTTTCCCTAGTCATCTTCAGTCCACTGCCAAGTCAAATTTTTAAAGAACAAAACATTTTGAACCCACAGTTAAATAATTGATTTTACAATGTCTCAAGTTACATGCATGTTACAGCCAAATGAAATTATTCTTACATAATGCTAACACAGTAACACTGGGCAGTGAGTTTGTATTCGATCCTGCTCGTTGGCCTCGGGATGTCGTGGACAATGACTTCAACAAAATATCAAAGTTATTCAGTGCAGAAAAATCTGTTGTACGCGTCCCTGATCTAGACCCTAAATTTAAGATTGCAGTTCTTGCTTCAAAGCAGGTCTGATCCGCCATGCTAGTGACTCTTTGCTTATTAATCACTTAGCATCAAATGTTTGTGTTGGTTTAGTTATGACACATCATAAGCAAACACCTTACATTCTAGATTCAATCACTTATAGTATTGTTTATTTATATTTTGGCTTATAATTTATAGATTATACTGAATCAATGATTATTAATTTTCATGTGTCCATTTCGTCGACACAAGGATTTGCTCTTGTAGGAACATTGTTTGGTGGACTTGTTATATAGATGGCAGGAGGGTAGACTTCCCGTGGACATCAGTTGTGTAATAAGGTGATAACTTGTACGACTTATTTATTCACAGAACCTCTCTTCAACATATAAATTGAAAGATTTAAACACATCAACACAGCAATCATCAAAGAGCTCCTAATACACATGTTGCTCTCTTTCTTGAACGACATGGGATTCCATATCATCACTTGCCAACAAGTGCTGGAAATACAAGAGAAGCAGAGATCCTGGAATTGGTTGAAGATACTGATTTTCTTGTACTTGCAAGATACATGCAGGTTTGCCCTCCACATTTTTATTCTTGATCTCATCTGTTGATCTCTGGGATATACCTATTCTTATTTTGTAAGTGTGCTGGAACATGATTTCACATTTGCTTTGGAGGTATATCACCAATTGCATTATGCAACCTCCTAGAACAGTGGGTAATGTTTGTTCAAGCTCATAAGTACTTGACTCTAGTTTCTTCATTAAAATTAAGGGGAAAGAAGCACATGGGTCTTGAACATAGAAATATTGAACTACCAAATGATTTTGATGCTGTTAACTCTCTTATGAAGAATATATCTCTAGATGAGCAGAAAAGAGAACTGCAACTAGCAGCATCTTTTAAAAGGGAGGAAGAGAGATAAAACACTTAAGATTGAAAAGATGTTGCTCATCATATTCTGATGAGTGCTATGTTGAGTCACTAAGATAAGACATTCATAACAATAAAGAGTTGCTGGTTCACATGTTAGGATTTATTGTTTAAACTTTAAAGTAAATTACAAGTAGTTTATTTGGACACCTGAACTTGAATGTTCATGATATCTCTGCTCATGGGCAAAATCCATTCTTAGATAAAATCCGATACGACAGGGGAGTCCGATATTCAAGTTTGAAGAACTTTCAGCTTGTGATGAGTTCCTATCACCTGAAGTTAGAGGAAGTCAGGATTTTTGAACTTCATGGGATCTCAGCCAATTTTGGTACTTCCAGATTAAATGAATTCCTCTAACATTAAGTTACACGGAAGGAGGATTGACATCCTTCTTAAGTTTTTAAATCTAACCATTTGCTTGTATTCTTTAAATAGCAAATGCTAGGTGCTGTGGGTGCGTTGCAGCAGGAAACTTCTATCATGTTTGTTGTACCCACCTCTGGAACTCCTCGGGAGTTCATCCCTTGCATGCTTTCTGAGCTCCTCATTACATTAATGTTTTTGGAAAGAATGATGGTTCCGCATACCTAGACTCAATTCCATGCCCACAAATAGATTTTTTTTAATTTTATTGTAGCTATCCTCCTGCATCTGCCATCTATTCCTTAACTTTTACTAGAGCCTAAAGCAATTACAAATTTACAATATCATTTAAAGTCCCAACTATCATATACAAATATGCAGGTACTATCTAGAAGGTTTCTGGAGAGCTATGGTAAAGATATAATTAACATTCATCATGGCCTTCTTCCATCATTTAAAGGAGGGAATCCTTCGAAACAGGTATTTGTTTGAATTATTTATTCATTTGCTAGAACTATTGAGATTTCTTACCCTAGAACCTTTGATCTGGTAAATAAATCCAGGCTTTTGATGCTGGGGTAAAATTGATTGGTGCAACAAGTCATTTTGTAACTGAAGAGCTGGATGCTGGTCCAATTATTGAACAAATGGTGATATTCTTGAGCTAAATTAATCAAACACATCACTTGATTCTATTGTATGCTTTCCTGAAGCTCTTGTCATATTTTTTTTGTTAAATTATTCATCGATAGCAAAAAGATCAGTTTTATGACATTTACACCTGGAAAAATATAAGCATAAATAAAGATAGGACTAGTATTCCAATTCATTGTCAATCCAACCCAAGTTTATATGGAAAATGTCCAAGCATAATCAAAACCGTACCAAGTATCTAGTAAATATTGGTTAAATTAAATGAAATAGACTAATAATGGCCATACCTAGGATTGGTCAAATTAGTAGAAACTGTAACATGTTCCATGTTTTTCACTCCCTTGTTGGCTTAAGGATCAGCTGGTATTCTCATCCATTACTATGTTAGCTGGGCACTCTGCAGTGTCATTTTGTATAGTTGGAGACTGTTGCTTCAGCTAAATTTTGAAGCACTAGAAAAAAAAAAGCGTGAAGTAGTAACATGAATAGTGGTATCAAGTCGAAATTTGAAAAGTTAGCTTTTCACACCAAATTGGTCCATGCCATTGGGCACCTAATTCCTCTCTAGAAGATACTCAGTTATGTTGACTCTTTTCTTCGGTTTATTGGGTTCACATGCTTAAAAATTGTGTCACAAGTTGAATCTTATCCTGCCTTCAAGTGGGAACATTCTATCTTCTTTTAGCTCTGTGCTATAACATATAGCAGCTTACTGGGCATCTGTATATTATAGGTCCACAGCAGTATCCAGACGAAAATAATGCTACAAGGTTGAGCACTTTTAAGTTCTTCATTTTTACTACTCTTTTACTCTCATTAGAGTTGAGGAAAATTCTGTGTCCAAGGTCACTCTGAATCATTCATTTAGGCATAGGAGTAGCTTTCATATGTTCGACAGCATTAATAGTTATTCCTGGACTTCTAGATCATTTGCAAAGCAAAAAATTCATGTCAAATATCACTTAGCTAAGTCAAACATCTGTCGGGGTTAAACACAATAGTATGATAAATAAGATTAAAGCATTACCGGAAAGAAATAGTTGATACAAGGATCATATATCAAGACTTTTTTCATGTACTGTGGAGTTATAAAGGGAGTCAAATGAACAGTTAGTGAATCCAATATGACCAAGCTTGTTGTGCATTGCTGTCTGAGTTATTGTTTCAAGTGTGCAAGCTAACAAAAATCCTACATGTTATTGGTTTTACTGAAAGTCAAAATAGCTCTGAAAGATCAGGAGACAATCATGTTCCATGTGAATCATTAACAGTACATAGCATGGGAGGAGATGTATATCACTCTTGGCTTTTGTATCTGATGTGCATTAGAGAAGTCAACTGCCTCTGTTGAATTGCTTACTCGAATGACTTTATTTACATGGTGGATGGTGCAGGTAGAGAGAGTTTCTCACAGAGACACCTTAAAAAGTTTTGTGCAGAAATCAGAGAATCTCGAAAAGCAATGTCTCACACAAGTGATAAAATCGTATTGTGAACTTCGAGTGCTACCATATCAAGTAAACAAGACTGTTGTCTTCTGACAAGCTTCCTTAAACTTGTAATCATCTCTAATACTCAAAAATCTTGAATCATGTTTGATGCCTTTGTTCTAATTTCTGAGGTCAATTCGTGATGCTTTACACTGAATGAAATAAACTTGCATTAACCATCAGCCATACTTAGATCCCGAGGCTGAGAAGTTGTTACTATGTTCAACTACAGCAATACTTCATCATGCATGGTAACACCAACTCCATCTCTCTCTTCTTTGATACACTTAAATGTATTTTGTGAAAGAGCAAAGTAGACACCAATTTCTTTTCTCAAAGAATCATGATATGTCAAAATGCTTTCTAAATTCCTTTTTTAACCAGTGCTTGAGATCAATTTACTGACATTCATATTGCCCACTCCAGTAGTAATGATGATATTATTATTGTCCCTCTTGACTGTTGCCCTATTTAATCCTTCAACCAGTCAAGATTCAGATCAGGTATTCTTCATTACTTGAGATGCAGGTTTCATCTAATGATATTCCTCACAAGGATAAAAGAGTACATCTAAAAATTTACAGATGTATTATTAATCTGCAATCTGAAACTGCAGTGGAGCATACATCCTCCTGTTATTAAGGTAAAGGTAATGCATATCAATCCTCTTACCAGTGCTATATCTTAATTAGGAGGCACATATCTAAGCTGCTCTGCAATAACTATTGCAGAGATCAAGTAGTTATGTGATCCACTTATAAAGGTATTATATACCATCTTAATCTGAAATCTTAAGACTTGTAAGTAGAGATGCAGCTTCCGATAAACCTTTTCTGCGAGAAAGTGGATCGATTTTGTGGGATGCTCTGTGTCTATGTGATCTGCTTAAACTGGATTAGGCTGTGAGTATGGGTAGAATAATGAGTATTTTAAGGTTGATTGAGTTTAGATTGTATTTAGATAGCTTGTCGGGTTAAAGAACTGATACGATCAATTACGTTTCCTCGAGACGGTTTCCCACGAAGCAACGCGGACGTCTGTTAGAGAGAGAAAGGACTGTGCTTCTAACACCTCACTCAGTCCATGGAAGAAAGAGAGAAAGATAGAGAAGAAGAAGAAGAAGACAGGAAAAGAGAACATCGACCGATGCGATCGCTTGCACTTCCTGCTGTCATTAATTCCTCCAACGACCTCTTGTCCTCTTCCTCCAGCATTCAGTCCTCACGGCAATTCAGCCGTAATTACTCTCTCTTTCTCTCCCTGGCCGAAGGAGAAGCTAAACGAGGACCAAAGGGAAGGTCTCCGTGAGGACGCGTAGAAAGAATCAGAGCGTCAGCTTCTCCTGCTTCTGTTTCTGGCCTTGAGAGTTTCTCTTCAAATGCACGAGGAAGGAGAGTAGGAATGGGTGGAGAAGCTGTGCCCATGGAGGTGACGAATGCAGGGCGCGTGGATTCTGTCTCTAAGGTGTCATATACTCGTGTTTCGCATCTTGGGCGTTCTAAAAGGTGTGTTTTCTTGGTCACGATGATAGCTTGATAACACGGGTGTGTTGGATTACATTCTTTCTTTTCTTTTTCTTTATGGTTTTCTGTGTGATTTGTCAATGGCTGCTTTGTTCTAATGTTATTTAGGCTCCATTGTAATTAGAGGTGCCTCACCCCCTTCTTTCTTGCTTTGATTTGAGGAACTGAACTGCTTCGATCAGGTTTCTTGATCATACATGAAGCTTCTATTCTATGGAATTACCAAAGATTTAGTAATTCATCTTTTACCACACACACACACACACATATATATATAGTACAAAGAGGAAGAAGAAAGCTATACATATTGATGTCCTATCTGAATACACATATTAAGAATGCATATTTGGTGCATGAGAATGAGCTACTTTATATTCTGGATTATTTTACCACATTATGTGACTGTATGAGCCTCATGAGAGACTTCACGACTTCTTTCTTATATATGGATGCCTGAATTGTATTTTTAGAACCCTGATATGGTTGTCCAAAAGACTATAAACCATGGGATCAATGTGTACAAGCAATGCCTTTTTTTTGTTGATAGGATCTTGGCCTTCAGAAATTTTAATTATTTTTTGTTTTGACTGTTAATATTCTTTTCCCTGTTTCTGTAATTAGATATTTTCTGCCTACAATTATGATTTGATGACATAATGATTTTTCTTCCAGTGCCTCTGATAGATACTTGGAGTTGACCAAATCCAGACCAAGTGTAAGGTATCTTCAATTTTGTTAATGTTGAACTATCTCTGACATATGCATGATTTTGATGTCACGTCTTTAGAAGGTAGATTGGACAATTTTGCTTATCAAACCGAAAAATTGTCCCTTCATGAGTTCAAAATTTTCAGGGTTCCATAATATTTTGAATATACTGAAGTCTCATGGAAGCCAAAGTTCTTATAATCAAGATTCAAGTGAGAGTGCCAGACAAACCACATTAAACAGTCGATATTCCTTGGAAGATGATGTACGGACTTAACTCTTTTCGCATGCTTACATTTCATTTTGTATTGCAAGTTCATGTGCATGTCTGCAAACTTCACTGGGAGAAGAATATAATACAAGGTTTTGTTCTCTAGACCTCCTAAAGATGCTTGTATTTTGACAGATTAAACAACTTCAGATGCATTTGCATCAAGAAAACTCGTTTTCTGCTGGAGAAGGCGATTGGTTGAGCTTCCAGTACTTTTATCTCCTGGGCATAGACATTTTTCTGCTCAGGTATGTTGCTCGCCATACAGCTTCTTTATCAAGTTATCTATAACTTTTTTATTAATGCATCAGTAATTGGATACAAGATGGGACAAAAGCAGATGCAAGTGTGTTTTCTTTTAGAACAGCGGATGAAAAACAGTCAAAATCCTGGTTCACATAGTAAAATAAAAGACAGTTGATCAGATAACTTATCAATTGATTAGCTTGTTCTTATTTCGTATGTATGTTCATGCAATTACTATGTGAAAAATGTTATAAGCATCTTTTGACAACCCAGACCGGTAACTATTTTGTTGTACAATATATTCCTACCTCGGACAAAAGTTATTTTTGACAACCCAGACCGGTAACTAAGTTCTTTTGCAGATATAAGCTAAATTTCTCCATTGATATAATAGTATCTCTCATGGTTCATCGTACCACGGCATACCGTTCGGTACGGGCGATACATACCAGTCACCGATACGTACGTCGATATACTCAATATGATTCGGTATAACTCGGTACGTACCATACTAACAGCTGGGCGCTACACTGGTACAAATCGATAAGGTGATTGGAATGAGAAGCAGAATTCAATTGGGTCTTCAGAACTCGAGAATCGGGAGTGCCAAAGAAGATCCTCGGTTGGAAGGCCA